CCAGCGTGACCCCAGGACTGGTGCCGCTGGTACCACCCGCCGGGGCTGCCGTGTGGGGAGGGCAAACAAAAGCTTCAGTCTGCAAATACTGCACAACAGCAGGTCGCTTACGCACCCTTTGTCGCACTTGATACAGGTTATGTGCCAGGACGTCTCTCATGAGCTTCACCTCTGTGGGGGAGAGCCTATGCACCTGCTGATTTCTGCCGCTCCTGTAAATAAAAGAGAAGTTTAAATACTGTATTAATGAGTTGATTAAATACTATTCCTGTGAAATGATGCATAACCTATATTTTGTGCTGGAACAGAAGGCCATGAAGAGCTCTTCAGTGACCAGTGACATCACAAAATCATCCAAAAGTGGATAAAAAGTGTAGGATTTTGCTCTTTCCTGGGTTTTATCAATACACTGGGTAGCCAGAATGGGCCCTAAGCCTTCATACGGTTGACAGCAGAAACTCTCCTTTTCTTTCTCAAAGCTTCATAAGGAAGTTCATATTTAAGGGTTAGGTAGGGCAACAACCAGTTTTACATTCAGGAAGGCACCGCAGGTTTCCTTCTCTGTCTGAATGCATTCTTCAGCAAGGTCTAGCAATCTGGGTCTTGTGATCCTACTGGTTTTAACTCCTTTGAGAAAGTGTGGCAAATCCTTAAGAAATGAAGCACATGCCGATTAAAGAGTCCAAGAGATCTGCCCTGTTGTGAGGTGAACAGATAAGTGTTCCTTGGTACTGAGTCTGTTCTCCACTTAAAATGAAAGAACTACCTACAAGATAGTCATCTTTGTATTTTTAACAAACTGGGACAAGAAGTTCACAGTCACTTAGCTGCCTGGCCTTTTCACCAGCAAAACAATGGATGAGAGCTGCAGTGAAATGTTAACTGGTTTTCCTAAATCAGTCAATTTGTGTGAGAGTTAGCATTCAGCTGAATTCCCAAGAAAAGAAAGGCAAATAGATAGTGATCATCAGGATGGATCAGTCTGAGCTCATCTTGTTGTTTCTCTTTTTTTTTCCTTTCTCCATTTTGCTTTCTTGCCTTTTTTTTAAAAAAAAAAGAGAAATTGCAAATCTTTGTTCTCAGCTCAGTGATGTCCTTAAAGTGTTGTCTGTAATTGCGCAATGAAAGAATAGATTATGATCAAAGTATAATATTGCCAAAGCTTTGTGTGCATTTATTTTGTACTCCCTCTAAAATGAAATAAAAACTTTTAACAACAAAAGAAGGTGGATTCAAACTAAACTAAGATTATACTGTAAACATAGGAAAAAGTTTGGAATTTGCAATCACAGCTAGTTTGACAAGATTAACGCTGTTTTGTGCTATAATCTAACATTAACATCTTGAAAACTTCCAGGACCATCATAAGCGGCCTGGTTTCTACATTTTACTGTCTCTTACAATCAAATAGACAGTGAGCACTGGTGACCTGGCCCTGTTCAAAGTCCCTGGAATATAAAAATTAATTCCTGATATATTTCAAGGTTTCAGAACGTGTTTTCATTCTGCATCAGACCAAAACTGAGATCTGCCAAATTTTTCATAAAGTAGAAAGAAAGAGAGGAAATTACAGTAGGTTAAGGAGTAGTGTCAGAGGTAGGGCCGGGGTAACCAATAGGTTAAATATCTCACTGAGGCATTAGAGACCCATGAGTCTACCATTCAGCTATTGGCAAGCCAGAGAGAGAGAAAAAGGACTCCCTTTCTGGATTTGACCAGAAATCTTATCCTGGCCCTGACAAATCCTTCTCAAAAAGTCTTCAATAGACTTACATCAATTCTCAATGGCAGCAACAACAACAAAACTAGGTATTTACCAGCATGGAAAAAAGATCATCACCACCACACAATTCCAGGCGAGATGGGTGAGTTCACTGGTTGACTGGTTGGTTGGTTGGTTGTTTTTTCACTTGCTTTCAGCCCTCGAGGATAACACTGAGAGGATCCACAGATGCTGCCAAGTTTCCAGGCTTAGGTGTAATGCACCTTTATTCCGTACTGTGCCTGGCATGTCATGGGCTGTGGGACAGCCCACATATTCTGCTTTCCACGGCAAGGTAACCAGTCTCTTTGCTGTCAGCAGGCCCTAGCTGCTGTCCGTTTGGACAACAGGCAGACCCTAGGTACACCTGGGAAAGCAAACACAAGCACAGCCCCTGGGGACTAACGGCAATCTAGCCTGTTGATGAGTAGCGATCTATAAAATGCAGGCTCGACTGATTTGTGTAATTCCAAACAAATTGCCGTAGTTGATGTAAGCAGCTTTGACATCATAGGGAAAACTGTCTGGTCTGTGCTTCACGGAATGTCTCTGCAGGGTCTTATACCCTACAGTCGGGAATAAATAGGGGAAAGCAGTGAGCAGAACTCCACTGAGAAGACATTAGATCATCTCTTTACTTTTCCAGTTGTATACCTGGCCCCCTCCACATGCCAGCACAGAAGCGGCCAGTCCTAAGTCGCTTAAAGGCTTATCGTTTTGCTCTTAAAGTGACTTAAATAAAATAAATAAAGTTTTCTGAATCTCAGCTGAGCTGGTATAGCAAGAGAACAAACAGCATGAAGATAGTCTGTATTGTTCTTGAGCATGAATACAAAATGTGTATTCTTTTTATGGGATTAAATATTAACCTACGCAACAGATAACAATGCACAGGTATGGTAATAAGGAATAAATTGCTTTTACATTTTGCAATATACAATACATTAAAAAGGGCTTTCAAAAAAACCCAAACAAGTTTGGTATGTTACCAAACCCATAAAGCAATATTTATTGAAACTATTTCTTTGTTCTCATTGAAACTTCCAGCATGTTACAACAAAGCACAGGGCAGGAGAAACATCTGCAAATAAAATGCTTAAATTATAATATGCTATGAAAACCGACTGTCTCTCTGAAATCAGTATCTCTTTCTTCTTCAGACATGAAGATAGTTGATCCATGGAAGAAATAAAATGCCTTCTACTAAGCTTTATGATTATTTTTATATATTATACCTAAAATTTTGAACTTTGTGAACTCTCCACCAACCTTCACCAGTCCTGCGAAGGAAGTAACATTAATCAGGCACAGCTCTTGCACAACTGCACCACCACAAATGACAACATGGCACTTGATTCTGATCTGTACTGTATTGATACATTCTAAGATTTACTCTTACCAAAGTCAGTATTGCAGTAATATGAAGCCAACATTAAGCAAGCTCAAAGTCAAACCATCTCTCGCTAATGGGCATATTTCCCCCCAAAACAGGCATGCAAACACAGTTTTGATAATATCTGCTAGGCTGTGCTTTTGCCTTTTAAATCCTTATTTCTAAGGCTTACGTTCTGCAAACCATCATAAAAAATATGTTCTATTTTCATTCAAATGCGAATTCTTTGTTGCACATTCCATGGGCAAATTTCTCCAGTCTCCACTGGAAAGACTTACTGCTCATTGGATACTCACTTCACCTGCAGGAATCCCACCAGCATGAATGCAATTTCAGAAAATAATGTTAATTCACAGTGATGGAGATCTGCCTTGATTGTTATAGAGCATTTCTCCTCATGTGCCTAAAGGCTGCAAAACTGATCAGAAGTGCTAATGAGAGAGTTTTCTCACTACTGTGGCTCTGCAAACACTGTTTTACCAGCCGTATGTTGGAATTTGGTTTCAAATCTCCTCTCGCTCATGGCCAGAGTTTTGTATCCTTACTGAAGACAGGGACTTATGTTACAAGGCGTCTCAATGATAACAATAAAACAATTTACAAATACTTCCATTTGGAAACCTTTTAGTCTTAAGCAGGATCACTTAATTGCTCAAGCGAATGGAAATATAATAACTGCTGCATTGGCTCAGACCCAAGCCAAGATCCACCAAGTTCACTGTCTTGTCTCCTCCATTGCTCAACAACGGTCACCTATCGAAGAACAGAGCTAGGAAAACATGCACTTTCCTAGAATGCTCTCCCAGCCTTCAAGGATCAGAGTGTTTCTGAGCCATAGGCTGCACTTTGTTTTTTGAAGTTGACACTTGATCTCTCACTAGGAGAGGCTGTGCATCAGAGGTTGATGCACAGGACTCTCACTTTTGGACTCTCAGAGTGCTTTCTCTCTCTCTCGCTCTCTATTTCGGGCGTCCCGTTCATCCAGGATTGCAGTACCTCGGGATTGCAGCTTTGGGATGAGATGGGCCTAGGTCAAGGGGTGGTGAGCAATTACACCCTACATCACTCGTTTGTATATATTTATCCTTGTACATATCTGTATATATATATATTGGTAGCGGTAGTAGTAAATTGTTCTTATCTCAACCCACGGGTCTCTTTTCTTTTTCTTCTTAGATTCTCTCCCTCATCCCTGGGGGTGGGGGAGAGTGAGTGAGTGACTGTGTAGGGTTTGGTTGCCGGAGTGGCCTAACGCCCGACAGTGAGGATAAATACATGCACAGCAGTTAAAGCATGCGAGAGCAAAGACTTGTAGTGACTTCTCCCATAGAGGTTAGTTCCCTCAGTGATGGCTCTGGAGATCTCACCAATTTTTCCCCCTGGTCTGTCTGAGGCCAAGTTGCATTACTGTTTCATAAAACTGCAGAATCACAGGTTTGGATTGGAAAGGACCTTTAAAGGTCATCTGGTCCAACCCCCCTGCAGTGAGCAGGGACATCTTCAACTAGATTAGGTGGCTCAGAGCCCCATCCAGCCTATCTTGAATGTTTCCAGGGATGGGGCATCTACCACCTCTCTGGGCAATTTGCGCCAGTGTTTCATCAGCCTCATTGTAAAAAATGTATTCCTTAGATCTAATCTAAATCTCCCCTCTTTCAGTTTAAAGCCATTGCCCCTTGTCCTATCACTACATGCCCTTGTAAAAGTCCCTCTCCAGCTTTCTTGTAAGTCTCCTTTAAATACTGAAAGGCTGCAATATGGTCTCACTGGAGCCTTCTCTTCTCCAGGCTGAGCAAGTTAACTCTCTCAGCCTCTCTTCATAGGAGAGGTGCTCCAGCCTTTTGATCATCTTCATGGCCCTCCTCTGGGCCCGATCCAACAGTTCCATGTCCTTACATTTGGGGCCCGAGAGGTGAACACAGTACTCCGGGTGGGGTCTCATGAGAGCCGAGTAGAGGGGCAGAATCACCTCCCTCGATCTGCTGGCCACGCTTCTTTGGATGCAGCCCAGGATGCAGTTGGCTTTCTGGGCTGCAAGCGCACATTGTCAGCTCATGTTGAGCTTCTCATCCACCAGCACTCCCAAGTCCTTCTCCGCAGGGCAGCACTCAATGTTTAATTGGATGAATTTGGTACAGAAGCACGAAAATATGGCAAGACAGTTTGATCGACTGCAAACTGAAGTAGCAAAAATTGCAAATGCTACAAAGAAATCTGCTTTCAGCAAAAAATTATTGATTGAGATAATAGAGTCTGGACCTGTGCTCTAAGCTGTCCTGCAGGTCTCTCAGCTCCTAGCAGTGATGAGCAAAACCCACTGGCCAGCTAAGTGATGAGTACAGCTGCCTTGAACCACTGCTACAATTTAAAGCAGCCACAGCAGCTTCTGTGCCTGACTCATGATTCCTCTACAGAACTGGCCGTCACTGAAGAAAAACAGAGAAAATGTCCCTGGTTTTCATTTTTACTCTGTGAACAAAGAGCCAAAGTGCAAATATGCGAGCATCAAAATGCCAGCACAAAACAACTTATCATAACTGTCTTTTTTTCCTTAAATTTCTATTGAAGTTATAAAATCCCTTGGATGTTTCCTCATTTTTATCCCCTTCCTTCCTGTCCCTACTCTGCAGAGGGTCAGGAGGTTGGTACTTACTGTAAAGCAGCTGTGGATGATTCTGAAATATTCATGCCACCCTCAGCCAACTCGATGGCCAGTTTTATCTCCATCTTTTTGTACAGTGACACAATGCTGGATTTGGGCTGGTGTTCCCGAATTAAGATTTTCTTCAAATACTTATTGTCAAACTTCTTAAATCTGCAAAAGAGATATTAAAAACAAAGTGTAAGAAAAGGACATATCTTTTTATTTCTGTGGTACAAGCTTATCTTCATTCAAATTTGCACATATATAATTCAGCGGTGGAAACTGAATCCAAATTGGAGGCACCTGTGGACTCCTGAAGACTTGTGAGTGGAGACCTTTAGGTGGATATTTGGCATGGGCTATTGGTCCACAGAGATTGCAAAGCCCACCAGACAAAAGAAAGAAACAAGCTGCAATCAGAGCAAAAAAGAGGGCAGGGTGTATGTTTGCATATAACACTGCCAGATTTGTCAGAAAAGAATATGACCAGTCACCATGCTTTTGTACAAATGTTGTATTCTAGTGGGGCATAACAGCAGCAGCTGCTCTTACAGTAATCCTGATCTATTCAGCCAGGCACCAGTGACGCTTTAAATGGCCCAGCAGTTACAGTAGTTTGAGCCCATTATGTTACTGGTAATTTTGAATCCTGACAATTAGAGTGGAGAAAATATATTTCATTGTATTCTGAATAACAGAGAAAATGAATGGACCACAAAATACTATGTGCTTACATGCTGCAGCTTGTGACATATCGTTAATGTGTGGTACAATTTGAATGTGAATGCCTGTGTGTGCTTTGGAACAGGTATGTACTTTCAGGCAGATGTTTAACAGAACAACAACAGATAATCTTATAAATTTCTTTCAAAGAGACAGTTTACCACAGCAAGGTAGTATGTTCCACAAAAGCACTACAGAGTTTGTACATTTTCTCTTAACAAAGGCTAGTTTTCACACATTAATAGTGGAGATAGGTACATAAGTGTTTCCACTGGGTTTAGAGCTCTTTATGTTTTTCTATGTAACAGAAAGCCTCCTGGAGTGTCATCACTTAGGTAATTAATTCTGATATACATGCGCTAACATCTTTAAAGTTATGTATAAAAGTCTAGGGAATACCTTTTAATGCAATCTTCTTACATTAAATGTTTTCACATGTAGTGTATTTCTTGAATCTGCCTCTGAACTGAAATACTACATTTATGGCTGGTTTGGGCAAAATTCTCTTTTCATAGCTGTTAGGTAGATGTGAGATAAGGGGAAATATAATTTTCTCACTGATATGTGGAAATGCAGCTATTTCAATGGAATTACTGCTCCAACAAGGATTTAGTTAGCTTATTGACTGCACAGACAGTGGTGTGGTCCCCATGGATATCCTAAAGCTATCTCTGTACCGTGAGAGCCAGGAAGACATTTTATCTTCTGGGTCCAGGGATGTGTCGTGGATACATCGTTATTCCCTACTGGGACAAGAACTGGGTGCAAACCAGCTGCCTTATTCCCACTCTTGATTTCTATTGGGAGAAACCCAGTCCTTTGACTTGCTATATGTCCCAGCAGACTTCCAGCTGGATTACTGGGGTCCAGTGCTGACAGGTGAGACAGAGGATTTCAGCATAGAATTCTAGGCATAGCCTAAGGGATAACTTCTAGCCCACAGCACCGCAAGATGATGTTTGTGGAAAGATTAGTCTCATCCCATACCGCCTTTCACATACTGAGGTGGTGGCCCACATGACCACAGAGCTCCCTTAGGGAAAAGGTAAAGCGAACAGCAGCTTAGAATGGCAGGTTGATCTCTTCTGGTCAGTGCCTGGAAGAGCCACAGAGCTTCACAGAATCATAGAATCGTAGAATGGTTAGTGTTGGAAGGGACCTTAAAGATCATCTAGTTCCAATTCCCCTGCCATGGGCAGGGAAACCCTCCACTACACCAGGTTGCCCAAAGCCTCATCCAACCTGGCCTTGAACACTTCCAGGGATGGGGCATCCACAACTTCTCTGGGCAACCTGTTCCACTGCCTCACCACCCTCACTAAAAAAAATTTCTTCCTTAGATCTAATCTAAATCTCCTCTCCTTCAGTTTAAATCCATTGCCCCTTGTCCTATCACTACACGCCCTTGTAAAAAGTCCCTCTCCAGCTTTCCTGTAGGCCCCTTTTAGGTACTTTTCCCTTTAGTATTCTTATTTTAAATATTACTGAATACCTGTAAGGATAGGTGACTCATTATTATTGAATCTGTACTCATCAATAAGGGATCATATTTGCTGTGAAGGCTTACAGCAAAAGTCAGTGAAGCATTGACACCTTACATGGCTTCTGTTCAGAATCCAGACCTAAACGGTCGCTGTCATGGATCTAAGATTTATAACAAAGCTATGTGCATAGGCTGATGCCTGCAGCATGAGTCCATGTGCCATGTTTTCTTTTCAGAAGGCTTGTTTTCTGCTTGTTTGTGCAGAAGAAATTTAGCAGCAATATACAAGCTCTGCACTCCCAAGAGCTAATGGTTAATCAGGAGTTCACTTTTTTAAAAAGAGATATTGCACACATCCCCTATATTTTTATGCTATTTTAGCTTTATGGGACACAAGATTGATTTCCTATTCTATTTACCTGTTGTATTTAACCTGATAGATAGGTTAGTTTATCATAGTAGACTGCAATAAGAGATGCTTACTTATCTCTCAGCTGATAATGACTCCAATGTCCACATATGTCCTCAACACCAGCCTTCAAGTGATCCATCAACTAGAGAAACAAGCATGGAAAACTTTTAAGTGGCCATTATGGGGAAATAATGTCACCACAGATATGCAATTGTTGACAGGATTTTGAAATTTTTTAATTGAAAGCTGTGAGTTAATTCTGAAAGCATCTACATTTCTCTAAAAATCAGAGCAGAAATACTACTGTGGCAGCTCCTGTGCTTGGCTGCAGTGGCAGTATTTCGATGGAGGCGACAAGTCTGTCAGTCTGCTATCATCTCTCCATCACCCAGCAACATATAGGCCCAAGTAGAGGACTCTGTCCAACGGAAGATGATACTGAGTATCCAGATTGCCTGGTTCTATTGGACTACTGAGACCAAAAACTAAATACGTGGTTCTGTCAGCCGATTTTCCCTTCTGCATGTGTGATCTCTCTGAGAAGGGTACAGGGCCAGGTACTCCCCCTTTGCCTTGACTGACAAATCTTGTAAGGATTTTCCAAATTGTCATGAGACTGGTAAGTTCGTCACTGCTAGGCACCAGAATTTTCAGTCATCTTTTGTATGTTCCCAGCATTATAGAAACAGACAGAAAAATGGCCAATTCTAACATACATATTAAACAGAAATGTCTTTCAAGGTTAAATGTAAAAGTTGAAATAGTAAGAATTAAATGCACTTCAAATTCAAAACAGTAGAGATGCTCTAATTTTACTAATGTCTCTGCATGTGCTTAAATTTAAAGTATGATGTTTCTGTTAATTTCCAGTCTATTCCCTATTGTGGAAATGAAAGTACGTATGTATATTTTGGACAGCGTTAAGTCAGTTTGAGCAGCTTTCTGTTATTTCATATAATGGCAATCTGAGAGCTAAACCAAATCATAGAATCATAGAATGGTTTGAGTTGGAAGGAACCTTAAAGATCATCTAGTTTCAATCCCCATGCCAGGATCAGGTTGCTTAAAGCCTCATCCAGCCTGGCCTTGAACACCTCCAGGGATGGGGCATCCACATCTTCTCTGGGCAACCTCTTCCTGTGCCTCACCACCCTCGCAGTGACGAATTTCCTCCTTAGATCTAGTTGAAATCTACCCTTCTTCAGTTTAAATCCATTGCCCTTGTCCTATCATTACATGCCCTTGCAAAAAGTCCCTCTCCAGCTTTCTTTGTAGACCCCCTTTAAGTAACAGAAAGCTGCTAGAAGGTCTCCCTGGAGCCTTCTCTTCTTGAGGCTGAACAACTCCAACTCTCTCAAACTGTTTGAGAGGGGAAAAGAATAATTTGAAACTAAATTTGCAGACCAACTGTTCAACTCATTTCAGTTCAATTAAAGGTGTCAGCGTCTCTAGAACCAGTCAAAAGATGGCAACAAAGGTGTCTGACAAATCTAGTTGGGAAGGTTAAGTGCATTTTACAAATCCTACCTATATGTTTCTGTCCTGCCATGGTCACAAGTATCAAGATATAAGGGCTCTGCTACACCATGACAGTTATGGTACAATATTGTAATATGATAGCCACTATGAATACAATTGAAATAACATATTTTAGACTATTATGCTTAGGATTTCCTCCAAATGTTGTTAAAAAACATTCAATGTCCAAATCCACAGAATGCTAGTGCTACCAAATGTCTCCCTCTGTCCAGCTCTTTTGGAATACCCTTTCCCTCCTTCTTTTTAGGATACTAGTGACTGATATAAAAAACTTACTCGCACATGAATTTCTTCATTGATGGACTCTTTTTTGTTGGTTTTTCTAACATCTAGATATCTGACCAGTGGTCCAATTGTGATTCCCTGCATTTGGAACAATGAATTGAAATGTTAGCTATCTTTTAGAAAAAGTGGAAAGAAAGCAAAAGGTTTTAATTTTAAATCATTAGGAAAACTGTCTTAGACACAAGAATGATCTATGACTTGTATGTAGAGCTACAGAAGAGGATTAAAACACAAGACTTCTTAAAAATCATGCGCCAGGTGGGTGTTTTTTAAGCAAGATTGTATTTGTCAACATGTTTGAACCATGTAAATTAACTGACTCATTGTTAATCATCTTCAAAACAGCACTCACTTGAAAGAAAGTGTTATCATTGTGAGATTCTTACAGTCTAGAAACCTCTTACTCCAACATTTTCTGAATTAAGTATTTTGTTGTTTTTTTTTTTTCACTTAGAAACCATTTTCAACCATTCACAATTCTTTACTGCACTGCCACAGAATAGCATATAAAAAGGTGTAATAGAAACAAAATGTTTTTTTTCTGCAATATTCTGGTGGAATCCAAGTGCCTAACCACAAGTGCATGTGCCCCATTGGAACCCTAGGTTATCTGAGATATTTATGTGGGAAAATACAGAACATGAGATGCAAGACCTCCAGAAGATCCAGTTCCTCCTAGTACAGTAGTGTAAGCCAAATGGAGTAATCCAAATGTCTGAAGTAGCACCAGACACCTATTCTTACAAATCTGAATTACTATATTTTTCTTTAATATTCTTTTACTAAGGAATTAAAAATTTTCTCATTTTGTCTCCAAGATGAATAAAGATAAAAGTATAAAAAAATTCAAAATCCTTCATAAAACAGACATATGTTTTCTGTTCAATTTGAAATGCACCACCAGCAAAGAATGATTCTGTGCTGAAATGGAAAGTTAAAATGCTTTTTAATTTGGAAGCATTAGGAAGTCCATGTGGAGTGAACAGAAGAGATTGTGGACACAAAGTTCCCTCTTCCTTGAATATTTTAGAAGACACAGGTTTTCAGTACAGACTTTCTGAAAAAAAGATTTTCAATAACACTTAAAAAGCCGTGAAAGAGTAATTACACGTTGCAGTGCTAAATCTGTCCAAAAAATACGATAGCTTGTCCTAGTTTAAGAGTAATTCAATGCAGTCTTCACCATGAAGCTTTCAGTCACCTCTATTACATGAAAGCAATCCATTAAGAAATACACTTACTTGGATGAACACAGTGAAATATATAACTACAAGAGTGGCAGTAATGAACAATTTTTTTCTTGGGAAGAGATTCACTGGAAGCAAGAATGCAAGAGAGAAGCTGCTGGCTCCTCGAAGGCCACTGTAAGAAATAATGAGTTGGTCTTTCAAGGTGAAGGGGTATGTTCGGAACTTGTTACTGATGTAGAAGAGAGCAAACACACCTAGGAAGGGAAAAAAAACTACAACTATTATTAAGCAAGGAGAAAAGGAAAATATTTAAAGCAAAACAACATCTTGACTCAGGCAGCTGCTGACAGACTTTCCTTTTCAATTTTGGGTTCTTGTAGCTTCTCTTTGACCAACTGCTGAATCTGCTTTGTGTGAAATAATCTCCTAGGAAGGATCATGCTTTCTAACTGCTTCAGGATTTAAATTCACATGTGCGGTTTAGAAGTGAGATTCAAGGAAAAGATTTACTTTCTATATTTTTGTTGACAGTTCTTCTCTGAAGTGTTCTGGAGACAAGACAAACCACTGGATGAGAGTTTTTCCTGTGCCTTCACTTGCAATGTTTCCTGCTTTCTGCACAGTATCTGCCCAAAGTGTTTGAATAGTGCTTTACCAACAAGTCCTGTGACAGGTTCAGTGAAAGGCAAAGAGTAATAGCATTTTAATTTTTAATCCTCTGGCTTATTGTGTCTCTAATTCTGTTTATTTCTTAAATATCATTTTCTTTTTAATAAAAGTTAAAATCAATCAGGCAGTCTGTGGCTGTGCAAGGACTGTAGCTTTTCTTCATAGAGTACATTTAGTAATTTGCTAGATTTGCTCTTAATATTCTTCATCTTCCATAACATGTAACTATGTTTTGTGTGGAAATTGTTAAATTACTGAAATAAAAGATGAAAAATACTGATAATTACTGGTGTTATTTCACACAGCTGTCCCTGATAAACTCAGTGGATTATTATAGGTAAGGCCAGTAACAGTATCCTGTTATGTCAGTTGCTGGATACCACTTTGTATAAGACCTTTTTGGCTACTTATAACAATGCTAGACATCAGCTATTTAGACTGAAACTGCACATGTGAGGTAGCACCCTCAGGCCAATTCTCTTTATTTTATTCAAGCTTCAGAGAAAATCAAGTAATCATTTTAGCAAACAAATTTAGTGGAAAATATTTCAGCCTTCCTCTGGAAAGCTCTAGCACTCCCCTTGGTGTTTGAGAGAAGGATGGACATGTGCAAGCAAAATAGGGTTTTTTGCTCAGGAGAGCACTTTTTCTGCACTGATTGGAGGGATATTCCAATAAAGACTCCAAAAGTAAGACTTTAAAAATTTAGGGGCCATGTTTGGTCCAGGATTAGCAAGAAAACGTTTACTTATTTTATTTTTGCTATCAACCCACAAGAATCATATCACCTCTACTGTTGAGTACTTGTGTCATCCCTTTATAATAGACCTGTTCGGATGCACATACTTGAACCTTCACAGGTTTCCGCTTTCCTCTTTTTCCTCTAGTTAAATGGCTTCCTCCAGGGCTCCCAGGCTTAAAAGTCAAAGGTCTTGAAGTGTGTATGGGCTCTGAGGGTCAAACCAATGTCTTCCTACTCTAGTATTCTCAGACGTATGATGCCAACACTTAGCTGGTCCCAAATGTTAGATTCAGAGTACCATAGGCTGGAAAGGACCTTTGGAGGTCTTTTAGTCCAAGCTCCTACACAAAGCAGAGCTAATCAGATGAGGTTGCTCAAAGCTCCAGCCAAGTCTTGAATAACTTTAAGAATGGAGAGCTGGGCCACTGTTACAATACTGGATCACCCTCAAGTTAAGAAATGGGTTCCTATTGTCTAATCAGGATTTCCCATGTTCCAGCTTGTGTCTGTTGCCTTTTGTCCTATTGCTGTGCACCTCTGAGAAATATCTGGCTCCATCTTTTCTCTCTCCTCTGATCAGGTACTTGCAGAAAGTAGTAAGGTCTCTCCTGTGCCATATGTTCCCCAGGCTGTATAGACCCAGAACTCTCAAACTCTCCTTTTATGTCCAGTGCTCTAGCCTCTGACCAGGTTAGTGGCCTCTATTGCACTTGATCCAGAACCTCCATGTCTTTCCTTTCTGAGGAGCTCAGAACTGGAGAGAGCACTCTGGAAACAGCACACACTTCCATCAATGCTGAAGAGAGGGGAAGAAACACTTCCCTGGCCCTGCTGGCTGCACACTTGCTCATGTAGCCTAGGACATGATTGGCTTTCTTTGTCACAAGGACATAATCCTCGCTTCTGTTCAACCTGTTGTCTACAAGGTCAGGTCCCTTTCTGCAGAGTTGCTTGCTAGGCTTCAAGCCATACTAGTGCATGTAGTTATTCCAACCTACATGTAAGTCCTTGCATGTGCTTTTCTTGAACTTCATGATATTTCTGTCAGCCCATTTCTTCAGCCTGTCCAAGTCTGTTTGAATGGAAGCCATCCAGAATATTGACTGCTTCCTGCAGTTTGGTATCAGCCACAAACTTGCTCAGTGCACACTCCATTCCATCCTCCAGGTCATTAATGAAGACATTAAAACAATATTAGTCCCTGTACTGAGCCATGAGGGATGCCACTAGCCACCAGCTACATCAGTATTTTGACCCCACTGATCCAGCCAAATCCCTTCCTACGTCATCAACCACTTCAACTGGCCAAAATCTGTGCTTTGAAGTCCAGGGTTGTAGTTCTGCTGTTTGTCAGCTTGCTCACTCCTCTCAGTATCTTAGCATCTACAGTCTCATGGTCACTGCAATTAAGGCTGCCCTCAATCGTAATATCTTCACCCATTTCTTCCTTCTTCGTGAATGGTAGAAAAGACAAAGCATATTCTCCAGTTGATTCACCAACCAGCCTCCAGCAACTGTTACTTGCCTCTTCCTCTAAAGCCCTTTTTTCTTTCTCGTTCAGGACACAGCTGACCCTCATGAATCACCTGACAGGTCTTGTTCCTCCTGAATACCGTAGCGGATGATGCAGGACCAATGCCCAAAGCTCAAACCTGGGTTCTGTGCGTAAAGGGAATATAGACAAGGACTGAAGGCTGGAGGAGGTGGTGGCAGGTGTCCAATGTAGATTTCTGCCCCACAGGATGCTCCAGAGGGGTGTTCTTTGGTTATAAATGAAGCATGGGGGGCCTAACCTAACTCAGTTAGCCAAGCTAGGTGCCTAAATTTCAGTGCTCAGAATATCTCCTCCAAGACCACCTGATGGAATATTTAGACTTCTCTTTTTCTTTAAAAATATAAATTACTCTGAAAAATCCTACTGAAAATCAGAAAGAATGTTGTTATTATTAAGATGGCCAATTCAGGCACTCACAAGTTAAAAAATGTCAGAAATACAGTTATTTGCATAATTGTATTTTTGGCTCTCATGTGTACTACTTGCAAAACATTTTTCATTATAAAAACATTGTTCACTCATTTTAACTAAATTTAAGTGACAGATAACAGTGACTGAGTAGGGCGTGTTCCATGATCCATCACCTCTCCAGGAGTAAATGCATTTGCTTTCTGTTGCAGCAGTTGTAACTTAACCTGATGGAGAACAGAGTATTCAGGTTCAAAAATAAAGATGGCATAATTCATGGGCAACAGGTCCAAACCAGACTCCTATATAGCATAGGCAAGGAGTGTACCCTTTCACATCCCTAACACAGTGACTGTAGAAGCTGAGGAAGTAGGAGGTGAACAGAGCTCAGAAAGTGGCCAGGTTTGCAAGCCTTTCCTAATTAGCTTCTCCTGCAGGCCCTGTTGAAGAGACCGCTAGAGGGTTGGTCCAACCCAGTAGGTCATTCCTTCTTTTCTTATGTCAGCTAGAGTGTTTGGCTGGATGGTACTGGTAGATGAGGAAGAAGATGGTAATGTGTTGCCTCCCTGCTTCCACAGTTGCAGTAAAATGGCTAACAGGCACAAGAGCAACTTGCACGAGAAGTCTTCCAGGACTGCTACTACCTCCAAAACTCCACCAGCCTTCTTACTGCTTCTTCTTTTTCAACATTACTGTCAACTCATCTCGAACATTAGGAGATGAGAAATTGTATCCCACAGCTCATGTGACATTATCTATAAACTACCCTGCCCTTGCTGGAGGAATCTGAGTCTTGCAGATTACGGAGTAGGAGTCCTTTGCAAGAATGGGGAGATACTGTGTGCGGAAATTAAGTAATTTCAAACAGGCACTCTTTTCTAGCAGTTTAAAACTTCAGAGCTGACTTGTGAGCAGCAGTTGCATAGCGTGGTTGGCCTAGATTTGCTATAAGGAAGGAAACAGAGTCCCTGTTCTGTTATCTATCAGTGCTAATTTTCACCTTTCCTCTTTTCCAATGCCTCTGGCACTCCTGGCCCAGGACCTGTAGTGTTATAGCAACAGAAGTGTGGTGATGTACATTATCTAATTAGTAAGTTAATTACAGTGTGTGATGAAATCATTATGAAGCCCACTTACCCAAGGGCATGTAGTTAACTAAGATACAAGCATCTCTATAGGCATAATCGTGGTAATATTTTAATTTTGCTCAAAATATTCCATTCTCACCTAATTATAAAGTCTATGCTTGGAGATTGGCATTCGGATTTGTTTGGAGCTTTTTCCCATGTGAAATTAACTTGTCATTAACATAGCCTAGTAAATTCATCATTAAACTGGTTATGCCAGTCTGCACAGACTTTTCAAACACACCTTTGCACCAAAGAGTTTCTCTCAAAAGTGCAGAGAAGGTTGCCTGCAAAAGCTGACTTACTCAGTGTCCGCCAAATGAGACAGAAGAGCAGAGTGAAGATAACGAAGGCCCAGTTCCACTCGTGGTTTTTCCCCACTGTAGACACTCCCATGAACATGAAAATCATGGTCTCGCTTACGCTGCTCAGCATCTTCATGAAATATTTTATTGTGGTATAGGAGTTCTGGGAAACATTCTCCTCCACGTATTTTTTCATTGTCACTGCACATGCTGTCATCCTGTACCAGGTAAAACATCAAGGATCAGCCATAACCTGTTTTTCTTTTCATTTAAGAACAACCTCAGCCTTCATTACGAGCACTCACCATCACCAGCCTCTGACCCTTTCAATATCAAGAAGCTTTTTATTTCTTCAGTAATATTAGCTGTTTCATTAGATAGAAAAGCATCTTCATTCAGCTTTACAAATTCATTTTGCATACAGGAAAAAGGAAGCAAATCAGTCAGCCTTCCTGATGAGGAAATGAGGATATCACATTCCAGTTCAAAGTCCACTTTATCCTGAATGCCTAACACACAGCCACCAAGCACCAAATATTTGAGTCTCAAACAAAGTAAAAGGCAGTTTTGTACCAGCCTACAGATGGATCAGTTAGAGGGACATAACCTGTCTCTTAGTGATCTCCTCCTTTGAGGCAGTGGTGGGAGAACATGGTGGTAGTCCTATGCTGGGGCCAAAGCTCCTGGCAGCTCTCTGTCAGCTGGCTGGCAAATCAGCAGGGCCAGGGTAAGCTCCAGTGACTCTCCACCCAGAGCAGCCTATTGCTGTACAGTAGAGGGAAATTCAGTTATCCTACAGAGATGTCCTTCCCCCCTTTTAGTTATCTAGGGTGTAGGAAATATGCCTGAGGAAGCAAAGAGATGTTTTCTGCCTGTTTGCTGTTAATGAAAACTAGAGCCTGCTTCAGAGGCATCAGAGGACAGCCAGCACAGAGGCTGGTAACAATCATACTGAGCAGTAGTCTTTGAGCAGCCCTACTGAAGGGAGTTTGCGCTTTCCCCCTTCATTTTCCATTGTCATAAGTAATAGATAGATTGAGTGCTATGCTAGTAACATCATCTACCTAGTTTCTACTGATATTCTTTTAGTCTTTGGGGGCTTCTTGTGATGATATTTTTCCAACCTTGTGAATTCAGAGAACACTGACTGTTCATTAAATAACCCTTCATCTAGTTTCTACTCATTTAATTTCTACTGAAGAAATCTCAAGGGTATTCTGGTGGAGCTGAGATATTCAGCAGGTCCAAGGACGTTCTAAGACAAGGCCATTAGGCATTAATGTTTAATACTGTTGACTTTCAGAGACACATGCATAATAGACTTTCATGATCCAAGTGAAAAATGAATGAATTCCTTAATAATTCAGAAGGGTGACAATAAGTTCCCATCCCTAAAACAAGCAATAATTTCCTTAATGAAGCAGTAAGAATAATAAATCCCAATTATATTAACATTCTTTTATTACTAATAATTTCAGCACTCTAATGAAAACAAGAAGCAAAAGAAATAAAGAGCTGTGAAGTTTAGTGTAATGAATAGGCAGGGAAGTAGTACTTTGGGCAATGCAGGTAGGAGAGTCCATATGGTATTAGTGCTCACTACATAGTAGGTCTAACCCTGCTCAACTAAAGTCACCAGTCACTTCAATCAGAGCAAAAGTGTTGAATATTCAAAACATAGTACAAGGCTTGTCTGCTTTGCTTAATTGCTCAGAAAAACGTATATCCTCTCTAACTACTGATTTGACATGGTTAAATATTCAAAGATTGCTTCCCAGGGTCATCTGCAAAAGTTGTTTTTACAAAGCCAATTCTGCTCTGAAGCTGAACAAATTGGTGTTGTTCAGCCTGGAGAAGAGAAGGCTCCAGTGAGACCATATTGTGGACTTTCAGTAATTAAAGTCTCCTGTAAGAAAGAGGGGGACAAATGTTTTAGCAGGGCCTGTTGTGATAGGACAAGGGGTAATAGTTTTAAACTAAAAGAGGGTAGATTTAGACTAGATAAAAGAAAGAAATTTTTTACGATGAAGCTCGTGAAACACTAGAGTATGTTGCCCAGAGAAGTGGTATATGCCCCATCCCTGAAAACATTCAAGGTCAAGTTGGATGGGGATCTGAGCAACCTGATACAGTTGAAGATGTCCCTGCTGAGGGGCTGTTTGGTGTGGTATCTCTGAAATTCATCTACCAGCACTTTTCTTGTAAAGTCTCTCACTCTCACCCCTATTCCTTCCTTTCTCTTCTTTCCTGCTGCCATCTTCTTTCCTCCCCATGCTACTCACCCTTTTCACATTTACAGCAGTTGTCAGACTTGCCAGCTTTTTCTTTGCAGTGGGCATCCATCCCATCACAGCACTTTAAGGAAACAGTCCCCAGCATTAGAACAGTATCAACCTATCCTGATCACATCGAAATATGATCGTCAGTATCCATATACATGAGTTATGTATGCATATGTGCTTGATGTTCTCCATTGTCTGGTTTTGATCAGTTTCAGTTCCAATGATGCTGTTCAAATGTAATGTAATTCCAGTAAGTTGTGTTAGAGCTGATGTTCACAGCTGCATACAAAAGCAAGAGCTTGGACATTCCTTTTTTTTTTTTCTTTTCCAGACTCATTACTTTTCATCTCTCTTAATCTGATGGTGATTCTGCTTAGAAATAAATACAGATACACTGATCTATTATCAAATCATTCGCTCATTCTGCTGACCTTATTAGAGGTAGCAGCCAGATGGTAGCAGCACTAGTTGTTTTACCCACAGCTTGCAGTATTTTTTCCAACAGGCAAAACTGTAAAAAAAATTCAGAGCAGATACGCCTTCCTCAGTGATACAACTATGTCTGTGATGACTGTGGGTTTACTTTTTCTAGTTAGCACTGCATTTTACCAATCCCTTAGAGGCAATTCACTGCAGATCTCTAGGCCAGAGACTGAAAATGCATATATTGCACCAAACTCGAGCAAATCACCTCCTCAAAACAATACCACTTCCATCGAGACGGCATCCGAAAAGCTATAAGGGATACTCACGCCAAAATGCCTGAGATGTAAAGGGTTTCAGCAGACAAGTATGACAGGTAGCTGAACATGAAGACCATCAGGGGTTCGATAGCAGAAACGTTGTGAGTGAATCGAGTCATGAGTGCCGAAAGAAATCCAAAGACAACGCCAAACAAGACGCCACCCAGCCCCACCACGAAGAAGCGAGCGAAGCCAGCGAAGACATCGATGGATTCGATTTCTTCATACCTGTGCATCTGGGTGAAGGCGATGAAGATGTTGTATAGAACCTACATGTAAAAATAAGGAGACAGCAGTCAGGCGTCTTTCTCAACCTGGCAGGCTTTCTCATTTCATAGGGGGGTGTATGTATGTGTGTGTGTGTATATGTATATTTATATACATATGTCTGAAATTGCTTTAGACAGCTCAACAAAGTAACAGTTGAAATCTCAGTTGGTTCTTAACAAGTCCTAGGATTAAGAGTCTGTTAATTGTCCTGAAAAATAGCATAAAAAAGAAGGGTAGATGTTTATGTAATAAAAGTAAAACTCTGGAGGATCAAATGCAATTTAAGTAACTGGAAAATACTCATGCTTTTTGTTTTCTGAACATAAACTTAATTATTGATCTTTGTAGCAGATGTTGAAAGCCCAACTGGCTACTTTACCAACCTCAGGCTTTTCCTTCCACGTTCTCGTTCTGACTCAGAATGGGGTGACTAAGAATCACACCTTTGATTTAAATCCCATTTAGGTGGCCTGTGTGATTAGTAGACTGGACACACTTCATTAGATGGACTCTGGAATCTTAAATGTTTTTCAGTAGTACTTGATGCATAAAAATCATGAAACATCACTGAGAATAGGAAAAGAAGCAGGAGAGCGAAGGGAAGGGAAGGGAAGGGAAGGGAAGGGAAGGGAAG